TAAATGCACACACCTTTGGTCAAAGCAATTCCACTTCTGAGAATTTATCTCACAGCCTAAAGACAGAGGAAAAAAGACAGTTGTATTTTTTAGTGGAAAAATAGGATGGCTATCTAACTGTTCATTGACAGAGGAGTCATTAAATAGGTGGCAGTGCATGTAACAGGGAGAGCTCTGTAGTCAATAAAAAGAGTAGTAACATAAATTAGGTGGACAGGAAAGATGTTCCCTAATGTACTATGAAAAACGCCCCTTTGGTATAAACCCACCTGTGTAAATATACAGTCAGTTCTGGTTATCTGCAGCAGTTACATTCTGTAAAGTCACTGTGAATGCTGTGAATACTGACCACGCTCCTAGGGGATGGTATAGGGTTAGGTTCCTGTGAGCCTCTGATCACAGTTTCATGAACCAATCTATATCTAACCTTGTTTTGTGTATTTCTCTTTAATATACTGTTGATTCATTACCACTGAATCACAGCCAACAGCGTTATAACTCACGCCTAAACAAAGCCTATCTGAGGCACATGTTTCTCCATAAGGCACATGAGTACCTTCTTGCTCTCAGGAGCACTAGGCGGCACTTCACCTCTACAGTTGGGGCCATTTTCAACAGCAAGACCACCAAAAGCAGAAAAACGAGAAAACATGGCATTAAATAGACCGAGAAAAGGGCATTTGTTCACAATGTGAGTGCTGAGACAAGAAGGCAGAGCATCACCTAGTTTGCCCTGCAGGAGGACCGTGCCCAGGGAGGGTCCTTCCCTGGCAAAGTGGCCATGTGACCGACCTCCTGCTTTGGGCAAAGTGGCCATGAGACTGACCTCCAACCTGCTTTGGGCTTCCCTCTCCCAGGGAGGAAGACAAGGGCTGAGATGAAGGCCAGCATAGGACTTGGCCTCACCTACAAAAACCTGAAGTTGGGAACTGTATCCCAACAAATAGATGAACTCGTCACCCTTAGCTTCTGCTGTGTTCCACACACCCGCAGCGGTCAGCCAGGGGCAGGATGGGACACACAGAACAGAGCACAGCAACTCAGCACCGAGAAACCTTGTTTTCTGAAGAGTGGGAGGGGCCTGGAAGTGACAAAGGAAGAAAACAGAGGTGTGCAAAGAGAAAGTCTGATGGAATTGGGATTAAGTGGAGAGGAAAATAAAAGGATAGAAAGGGGAGGAAGATAGGAAATCGGGTGGTTTTGTTTACTGGGTAGTTTACATGGGTCTAATCTGTGATTCATTCCCCCCACTTCATAAGTGAAAATGGGTTTACTTTCCCAATTATGAAAACATGCAAGTATATCTAGGTCTGGAAGGACACACACCAAACTATGGGAATGGAACTATGGACTTCAGGAAAACTAATCTTTTACACTAGGTACCTTCTGAATTCTTCCTATTTTTTAACAATGTATTTCATACCTTTTGTATCATAACAAGAAGGTCTTACATTTCAGGCCACACCATCCCAACCAAAGGCAACTGGTCATGCCTCTGGGCCTTCTGGTTTTCTTCCCCACTCCTCTCCTTCCTCAGGAGGGGCCATGCTCTGGGGCTAAGGAATCAACTCCCAGTTACTCTGAGCAGCAACAATCAGGCAAAAGCAAAACTCATGTCCTTTAAAAAAAAATATGGAGGGACCATATGACCAGCAATTCCACTCCTAGTCTCATGCCCCAGAGAACTGAAAACAGGTGGTCAGACAAAGCTGGTCCTGAAGGGTCATAGCAGCACCAGTCAGAGTGACCAGAAAGTGGGAGCAACCCCAATGTCTACCAGCAGATGACCGGATTAGCAAACTGTGGTACCCACACAATGGAATACTCGGCAGCCAGAACAGGAATGTGTGGATACATGCCGCAGTACGGTGAACCCTGAAAACATCATGTGAACAAACCAGACACAGAAGATCACACACCATATTACTCCTTTCATTTGAAATGTCCAGAGCAGGCAAATCCACACAGGCAGAACACAGATGAGTGGTTGCCAGGGACTGAGATGGGGAAGGAACGGGAAGTGACTGTTTAACGGGTGAAAGGGTTCCTTTTGGGTGAGGAAAATGTTCTGGAACCAGAGGGAGTTGATGGTTGCACAACAGTGTGAATGCACTAAATGCCACTGAATTGTATGCTTTACAATGGTTCCAGTGGTGAATTTTACATTGTGATATGAACTTTATCTTGATTAAAAAATAATAAAAGTAAAACTCCAGCTGTGTGCCCCTGGGCAACTTCCTCAGCCTCTCTAAACCTAGAGAATGGGCAGATGACAGCACGACTACATAGGCTGGTTGTGAGGGTTCCACATGGTATGTGTGTGAAGTCTCGGCACAGGGCCAGGCATGTGGAAAGGCCCAGTCAGGAAAGGAGCTGCTGCCCGGGGGACGACGACTGTTAAGGTGCGCTGCCAGAGCCAGCTCACCTGGAAGCCGTGCGGTTTCCATGTTGTCAAATTATCCTTCTAATTACACAACTCCAGCAAGACGTTCGGGGGAGAGGTGCTGTGTAAGATGAAAGATTAAAGAAGTGAGTGGCTCTATTATATTTCCAGACTATTTACATCTCGTCTACGTTTACAAAGGATTCTATCCTGTGTGAAGATAGGAAACACAAACACTTAACTCGGTCATAAGGAGACAAAGGAGGGCTTTGCCACTTGTCTGCCACGGAACAATCTACAAGCTCCTGCTTTCTCCACCTCCCACAGGCCTGTAGACATGGGCCCTTGGCTGACCCTTGTTTTATGGAGGGCAGAAGGGGCTGTGTGTAGGTGAGAAGGTTCCATCTGCACAAAGGCCTTCATCTGGGGGCAGCCTGAAAACCTAAGACCTGACAGGTGGGGGGCCAAGAACTGTCACTCTGCCTATCTGGGAATTATTTGGTACCAAATTAACAGGACTCAAAACCTCCTGAGGCAAGGTGACCCCCCTAGTGGCTGACAGCAGGCCTGGGGCGAGGGGAGGGAGGACCGAATAGGATTTCAGGCTGTCATGGAAACTTTTCTTTCCTTGGGCATCTGAGCATATGGCAGGTGTCCTGAAAAATCCGTTCCTGCAGCCTGAGGCTGGCTGCTCCCTCAGACATGTGGGTGGGGTGTCTGCTTCTCCATCCGAAGGGCCCCCTCCCTCTGCCATGGCCGAGCAGCACAAAAGGGTCTCCAGTTGTGAGCCTTGTGTCCCAGCCCCCAAGACAGACGCTGGGAGGGCTGCGGGGGGGTGGGGGCTTCCACAGCCCTGTGGGAATCTGAGTCCCCTGCCCCCGTGGGGGCCTGGATGCAGGCCACAGATCACAGACAGCAGCAGGCCAAAGGTCACAACGCAGACTTCCCCGGGGCTGCCTGAAACACGACACCTGCTCTGCCCTCCCTGATGGGGCTGTCTCCCAGGCCCTGCATCTCTTCCCAAGATGCAAGGGCTGAATGTGGATTTGGGACTCTGAAGTTGCAAAAGATTGGACTCCCAGCAAGACAGGCTCCTCTGTAGGACACGGGCACTCCAGCAACCCCAGAGCAGAGGAAATCCCAAACTGGGAGCCTGTAAACCCAAAGCAGCTGAAAGGATGATAACGAACAGTAGGTGGAAGGTGCTGGGGGAGAAAATAAGGCAGAATTCGAGGGAACTCTATAGCCAGGCTTCTGGGGCTGGGGATCATGCCCGTGGGGGTTCATGGCCATGTGCCAAGTGCAGACAATGCCACAGGAGAAAATGGTGCCATCGTCTCGCGGCATTAGTGGGATTCAAGGATTGAGAAGGGGCCTGTACAATAAAACAGGACAATAATACATTGCAGAGGAGAATCTAAAATCTGATTGAATTTTAGAGGACATACTAAATGTCAAGGAACCCTTACGACGCAGCTGGCCATTCTGGGGCGTTCTGCTCCTCTGCATTAAGGGCCATTTGGAGAAGTGTGGAAGCCCAGCTCTAAAGGAACCCCTAACTCCATTCAGTTCCTTAATCCACAAATTTTTTTGTTGTTGAGGTTTTAGTATGTGCCAAGCTCCTTTCCTGACTTGAAACTCACTGTTTAGTGAGGGAGGTGGGTGTTAATTAAAGGTACACAATGCCATGGGACTACCAGGGAGAACTTACCCAGGGCAGTGGGGGAATGCTTTCTTAGGGATTTGGGGCCTGAGTGGTGTCCAGCTAGGACCAGATGGATGGCGTGGGGTGGCAGCGAGGAGGGGAAGCTCTCAGGGCAGAGGGAACAGCATACGCAAGGTTCTGTGACAGAGGCGGCTTCCACTCCCAGGGACTGAAGAGGAAAAAAGCACAAGCTCAGAGAAGCAGCACCTTGATGGCTGGTCCCTATGCTCAGACTACTGGCAAACCAGGGGGTAATTTTAGGCAGCAGGGTGGCATGGAGAACTCTGTTTTAAGCAGATAACTAAGCAGCAGCATATTCAAGTAGTGATCACAGCCTGTCACAGCCGACAAACATGGTCAAAGGTACACTGTGTTCTCAGAGAGGTCTCAATGAAAGATACAAACCTGAAGAGGCCTGTGCCCAGGCCTGGTGATTACATAACAGATCCTATTTGGGCCCCAATCAAGCAGGCACACTTCTGAACACCTCTAAGAGCAGTGGTTGCTAGGGTTCTGCTCCCAGCTCATTCAGAGGCGATATGCCAGGAAGCAGGTGACACGGGGTTAAGAGTACAGGTTCTGGTACCATGTAGTCCTGGGTTCAAATCTCATGTGCTATATACTAGCTGGATGTCCCAACCTCTCTGTGCCACAGTAAAATGGAGTACTAAAAGTGTCTGTCTCCTAGGGTCACTGTGTGGATTCACTAAGATGAAACCGTTAAAATCCTTATCACTTAGCCTGGCAGATTACAGATACTAAAGCAAATGTTGATTATTACTATCACTCGCATTCAGCTACAGATGAACACAGAAGATGTGCAAAGAGCACAGAAATATAAAATGGTTTGGGAGCACCCAGGCTCACCAACTGGGAGGACACAGCATGGGAGAGAAAGCAGTTTCCACATACTTGCAAGCAGGAGGCAGGAGACTGCTACGGCGTACAGATGCTTGGAGGTGGTGATGTTGTAGCGATCCAGGAAGTGGTCCAGCAGGTAGATGGCCAGATGTCGAGCCGCAGGGCAGAGCTGGCAGTGGCTGCTCAGCAGGGTCAGGATGTCGACAAAGAACCGGCGGCTCTTCAGGAGTGGGGAGTGGGCTCGGAAGGTGGGCAGCTTCAGCTCCTGGAGACGGGCAGGGCAGATGGGGGTCAGGGCTGCTCCCGGGAGCCTCGGATGCCCCAAGAAAAGTGAGACATGGGGGCTTGCCTGCTGGTTGCTTACGGGCCACCAATTCTCTCCATACCCTGCTCGTTTCCTTCAAGTCCCAGGATGGCAGCCCGTCTATTACAGAAACTCCTGGACTGTCTCCCATCTGCCCTCACTGATGGCAGACTCGCAGTGCAGGGACATGATGACAGAGGCAGGTAAAGGAGACGGCTGGCTCCAAAGAAGCCCGTCGTGCCCCTGGGAGGGGTTTCCTATTTGAGATGTACACGACTTTACAAGTCTGTAGGCCTTGAGATCAAAGACCCACATCCCAATCTCCGTTCCACTACTCAGCCAGGCTCTAGCATCCCGGCCAGCTGCTTTCACCTCTTTCTCCTCCTCAGTCGCTGAGGATCAACTGAACCATGAACATAAACATCTCGAGCACACAGTAACCTGTCAGCGTCCATGCCTTAATTCCCTCTGTGGATTATGAGAGACAATTTTTAAAAAAAGAGTCAATGTAAAAAAAATATATATATATATTTTTTTAAGAATCCCCAAATACCCTTCGCCCAGATTCATGAGTTGGTGCCACTTTACCTTTTCTCTCTTTGCACATACATATACTTTTTCCTCAAAGTAAGTTCCAGACATCACACCCCCTTGGGAGGCAACTTTTACTCTGTATCTCACACACTGCCCTGTCACCTATTTGTCTAACACAAGAAAAACCAACAAGAGAAATGTCAAACCGACCAAGATTGTTATGACAGGAAAAAACTTATATACTTCCATGTTTACAATTTAACTAAAGTAGACACAATTCATTTAGGAAATATCTTAGCAACATTTTGTAAAATCGGGCAACTGAAGAGAAGCAAAACTGAGGAGAAACTGGAAAGGAAAAGCTGGTAGAAAAGGAATAAATAGTATGTGCTCATTAATGGCGAGTACATGGAAAATGAGATTAGAACAAATTGGTGCCCTCTTCTGTATAATGCCACTCTTTTAAGCCTCGGGCTTTACCTAGGTAGTGACAGTTTTGGGACTAGGAGATACCTGTTCATTCATTCATTCACTCATTCACTCATTCATTCATTCACTCAAAAGATAGTAATTCATTCATTTCACTCAATAAGTACCAAGTACCTTCTACAGATCAGGAATTATTCTAGGTACTGGGGATATAATTTGGAATAATACAGACATAGACCTAAATATAAGAATCAAACTATAAAACTCCTAAAAGAGAACAGGAGCAAATCTTTATGACTTCAGATTAGGCAATGGTTTCTTTCGTATGATACCAGAAGCAGAAGCAACAAAAGAAAAAAACCTAAATTGGACTTTAAAATGTAAAACTTTCATGCTTCAAAGAACACCATCAAGAAAGTGAACAGACAACCTGTAAAATGGGAGAAAATGTTTGCAAATCATATGTATCAGTAAGAGACTGTATTCAAAACATATAAAGAACTCTTACAACTCAAAAGTAAAATAGGCACATCCTATTTAAGAATGAACAAAGGACTGAATAGATACTTCTCCAAAGAGAGCGAAATAGTCAATAAGCACATGAAAAGATGCTCTACTTCACTAGTCATCAGGGAAACGCAAACCACGATCACAATGAGATTGTAAAAACAAACATAAAATAAGTAAGTTTTGGTGAGGGTATGGACAGACTGGAACCCTCAGACACTACTGGGGGGAAGGTAAAATGGTACAGCCACTGTGGGAAACAGTTCGGCAGCTCCTCAAATTGTGAAGCAGAGAGTTACCATGTGACTCAGCTATTCTAACCCTTGGTGAATACCCAAGAGAAATGGAAACACATGGCCACACAAAAACTTGTATAGGAATGTTTACAGCAGTTTATACCCCCCCAGATAGAAACAACACAAAAGTCCATAACTGATGAATAGATAAACAAAATGTGGTACATATATCCATATAATAGAATATTATTAGGTCATAAAAAGGAACAAAGTACTGATATATGTTATAACATGGATGAACACTGGAAACATTACTCTGAGTGAAAAAAAGCCAGTCATCAAAGGCCAGATATTGTAAAATTCCACTTATATGAAATGCCTATTACACGCAAAGCCATATAAACAGAAGTCAGATCAGTGGTTGCCAGAATTGGGGGGGTAGAGGTTAACGGCAGGGTGTGACAACTAACAGACATGAGGCTTTTTTGGGGGATGAAAATATTCTGAAACTACATAGCATTGACAGTTGCACAACTCTAAGTATATACTAAAGGCAACTGAATCTTGTATTTTAAAATGGTGAATTTTATGGCATGTGACACATCTCAATAAAGCTCTTATTAAAACAAAAAGATGGACACACTGCCCATTCTCATGGAGTTTATGACCCGCTAAGAGATGGTGATCAAGTAACAAGGCAATTCAGAATTCCAAACTGACCCAACACTAGGAAGGAAAGCCTGTGAAAGCCCCCCTTCTTCTCAGAGTGAATGGAGAGCTTCCCCAGAAAGCTGAGCTGGAGCTGAGATTTCATGCTGGGGCCCCTTCTCTATGCCTTGTTTTGCAGAGCGCCTCGGGGCCAGTACACGGCACCTAGGAGCCCTAGAGCTTTGCTCATGGAAAATGCTTAAAGCTGATTATTTCCTTTTCTTTATGTTTACACACGAGGAAACAAACTGAGTTTGAAGAGGTCTGTGGCCCCAGGGCTTAATTTGAAATAAATCTGAGACCAAAAGATTTTTCATGTGTTCTTTTCTTCAACGTTTTACTTTTTTTTTAAGTCATGGAGATGTCTTTTATCCCCAGTTTAACTTCTTTAAAGAAGAGACCTACTTTCTTTGTGTATTACTCCTCTTCATCGATGAATTTCTGTGGCCACCAAGGGATTTCAAATTGTTTGAGTGCAGGGCCTGGGTCTGCTTTTGCAGTCATTGTTTTCCCACCACCCTAGTGTGTGACTACAACATGTCAGGTGCCCATGTCAGTGTGAAAGGAATGGAGGGAGGGAGGGGGAGAAGCTGAGAGGCAAGGGGGACCCAACTGCAGTGGTGAGGAAAGAACACCCCGGCCCAGCTGAGCAAGGTGTGGCCTCTGCAGAGAGCAGCAGGTCACAGGGATGTCAAGGAGAGCTCTAGCTAGCCAAGTTTCAGAAGGACATCTGGGAATTGTCCTCTTGAAGATTCAGGGAAGAAAAGGAAGGTCAGCAGGAAAAATGACACTTGAAGAGCCATGCAGGTATCCCAGTCCGGGAATCTGGAGCACTTGGGAGAGCCGGACAGGAAGGGTGTGCCTGGACAAAGCAGGTTGGGAGAGTGAGCTGGGTCCCCTGCGAAGATACCTGGCCCACTCAAGAGGGCAATGGGAAGCCACTGAAGGGTTTAGAGCAGGGCATCAACATGGGCAGGGTGGCCATGTATGAAGATCTCTCAGCCAGGCCCCAGGCTATGGCCAGACAGCTGGCACTGCAGCCAACGTGGGGCTACAGCATTCCCCAACAGTGGCCTCCCTCCCCACCATCCAGCAGCCCCCAGAAGCTTGCAGGCTACTAGGATATTTCCTCTAAGCAGAGGGCTCCAAGACAAGAAGCAACCACAATTACAGATCCTTGGTGCTCTGTAGGCAGCAGCTGCCGGAAATTAGACAAGTGACCTTTGGCCCAGGCTGTATTGCCCTCATCAAGGCAGTTCAAAGCCCCAGAACACCAGTCAGATATGCAACATTCTGACTTCCCTCCCTGCTCAATTCAGCCAAGTTTAACTCCTTGTAGATTTTCCCTTCTGCCAAGTGGGAAAAGACAGCTCAGACCAACACACTGGAGGTCTTTCCTCTGTACACTGTTCTGGGAAAAGGGTCCACTGGCTTGAGCACATTTTTATGGGAAGCCATCGGTACACAGAAGAAAAGGATGGACCTTTGCAACAGGCAACAATACATGTCAGGAATGAGTCAGAAAAGCAGAGCTTCCAGGAAAAGGCTCGTCTCTGGGGTAGGGAGGATTCTAAGCACCACAGCTGCTCACAATGCTCTTCACCTCCACTTCTGCTCATCCCTCAGTATGAGTTTAAACATCACTTCCTAAGAGGGGCTTTCTCTGACCCTCATCATTCTAAATTAGGTCCACCTTGTTCGCTCCCTCAGCATGTTGTTCTTCACCGACAAGTATTTTCTTCTTTTTATGTCTCCTGCTAAACTATAGGTCCAGAGAGTAGGGGCCATCCCCATTTTGCCTGATCCATTTTCCTGGTGCCCAGAATGTGCCTGGTGCAGAGGCAGGTACTCGAAAATATTTGCATGAGTAAAAAAGAATGAAGAGCCATGAATGGCACGGAGGAACCTTAAATGCCTATTACATAGTGAAAGAAGCCAATCTGAAAAGGATACATACTGTGTGATTCCAACTACAGGGCATTCTGGAAAAGGCGTAACTGTGGAGACAGTAAAAAGATCAGTTTGCCGGGAGTGGGGCTGGGGGAGAAAGGGATGAACAGGCCAAGCACAGAAGACTTTTAGGGCAGTGAGACTGTGTGGCGTATGGTCGACACCTGTCATTATACAGTTGTCCAAACCCATAGATGTACATGACCAAGAGTGAGCCCTAATGTGAACTATGGACTTTGTGTGATTAGGGCGTGTCCCTAGGTTCATCCATCGTAACAGATGTCCCACTTGAAGAAGGCTGTTGACAGTGGGGGGGCTGTGCGTGTGTGTGGGCAGAGGGGGCATATGGGAACTCTGTACCTTCTGCTCAATATTGCAGTGAACCTGAAACTGCTCTAATAAATAAAGTCTATTAAAAAAAAGAATGAATATAGTGATGTCCCGCCCTATACCAAATACACTCCTCCCCCCACATGTGGGGGAGCAGCTTGGCACAGAAGTCAGGCAGTTCTGGGGTAGAAGCTCAACTCAATCTCAAGGTGAACTACTAGCTTCAGGCATGTGAATTCTGAACCCCAGTGTCCTCATCTGAAAAAT